CCCACTTTTAAAGACAGAGACAGGGCTTTTGGTTAAAGATGATAGATTAGCTACATGTACTCCACTTGCCCCTCTCAAGGCAATAAAAAGTATATAAACCCAAAAGGACAAAGAAAAAGGGAGCATGAGCCCCCAGCACACAGAGGAGGGGGCCAGATGTGGTAGAGCAAGGGAAGTCAGAGTCTGAAGCGTGTTTTGGATCGCAAGGGAGTCACAAGCCGGAGACACTCATTCTCCCTCCTCACAGTGTGGTCATATTAGGCACAGTAGAGAGGAGAGTGTGAGGTGTAGGCAGTGGTGTGCTGGTAAACATTTAATTTCTTTTCTTTCTTTCTTTCTTTTTTTTTTTTTTTTGAGACAAAGTCTCGCTCTGTCACCCAGGCTGGAGTGCAATGGTGAGTTCTCGGCAACCTTTGCCTCCCGGGTTCAAGCGATTCTCCTGCCTCAGTCTCCTGAGTAGCTGGGATTACAGGCATGTACCACCATGCCTGGCTAATTTTTGTATTTTTAGTAGAGATGGGATTTCACCATGTTGGTCAGGTTGGTCTTGAACTCCTGACCTCAGGTGATCCACCTTCCTTGGCCTCTCAAAGTGTGTTGGGATTACAGACGTGAGCCACTGTGCTCAGCCACTGGTAAATGTTTTATAACCAGCTCGGAGGAGGGAAGGAAGGAAGGAAGGCTTTATGTATGGTATTTACTGATTTCCATGGTGGAAGTACAACCACCATGTCCTGTTTTGAGCTACCAACATGGTACCACAGCATGAGGGCCTGGGAAGAAATGTGCAGGATTGGCTTACATGGGCTGGCAAGCACTGGCTTCAGGACATCATCGGGTATAAGGCCAAAAATAGGGAGACAGGTTCAAATTTAGTTTATAGAGAGTCAGTCCTCACAATCTCTACCCCAGTTCATGCAAAGAATACCACAGTCAGGTGTTCATCATCTCTCCCCACTGCATACATACAAGACTGGGAAAATCTAGTGTCTCAGAGATGGAACCCCAAACCTCTAGGAATGAATGAAGATCACTGAAAGGAACTATTTAGGATAGCCATAAAGGCTTTTTTTTTTTTTTTTAAGAACTTTGTGTGTGTGTGTGTGTATTTGCATAAAATTGTAAATTGCTTTAAAAGACTTTTGATTGCTTAAAGCAAAAATAAATAATATGCTTTGTGGAGGGCCATACTGTTGTTAACGTTCTACACTGTTCATGAAGCAGGACAATACTGTTTGAAGGCAGACTTTGATGACTTAAAGATACATATTGTAACTTCTGAATCATCCACTAAAATATAAAATTAGGAAAAGCTCTATAAAATAAATCAATAGAAAAAATGTAATGGATACTAAAACATAATCAATTCACCTCAAAGAAGCCAGCAAAGAAAAAAACAGGGAAGCAAAGAATAAATGGGATAAATGGAAAACAAATACTAAGAGAAAGTACTTTAACCCAACCATTTAAAAACTTAAATCAAATGTAAATGAATTAAATGTTCCAATTAAAGTTTTAAAAAATTAAAAAATCCAATGGCTACTTGTAGTTGTTACATTTCAAGTGCTTGATAGCTACACATGGCTAGTGGCTATCACATCAGACAGTACAGATACAGAAATTTCCATCATCTCAGAAAATTCGACTGGAAAGCACCCATCTAAAGAGCAACTAACTCAAAATAAACAGGGAGGATGGAGCACTCCAGGATTAGAATTCCATAATGAAAATGTAGATGCCAGGTAGTGCAGTGAACAAATAGGGCAATTAGAATTTTCAGGAAGAACAAAAAGATGATCAGGAAAGTAAATGTGGTCATAGTATACTTGACTCTGTAGTGAATAATATATACATGGGCAAAATCCTGTCAACACTGATGCTTGATGTATTCTAAATTGGTAGATAATTATTTTGGGAAAATGGGAGACAGGCAAGGTGGTGACTGGAGAGACAGCACACGTGCTAAACCTCCTCCACTGTAACGGGAGATGAAAAAATAACAACTAACCTTTATAAAAGTGGTAAATATACATTTTGGAAATGTGGAGGTGCCTAGCATAGGAAGAAATTGAAGGAGCTTTCTCTGGAGGATGGATGGAAAGCAAGATAGGGTAGGGCAGAGAACTGCTGTTTTTCATAAACCTTTTGGAGGTATTTGATTTTTTAAAACACATACACATGCACACACACACACACCCACACATATATATGAGCTGGGTAAAAGAAAATAATTGTACAAACAATCCAGACAGAAGCCAATAGTTATCTATTCCTTTAATATTTGGTCATGACATTCAAGTAACTAATGGGACCGTTGATAATTTGTGGAGCTTCTGTGTTATAATGGAATCTGTTTAATGTACTACAAAACATTATAAATAAATATAGCAAAAATATAAATATATGAAATATATTGTAAAGAATGAAGAGGCACCTTCTGAAGGTACAAGGAAGGATTTACCTGTAGAAAACGCACACAGAGTTTTATGTGTATTGGGAGAAAAGAAAGCAGAAAAACGTCGCATGTAGCCCAGGAACCTAAGGCAGGAAACTGAGCAAATGGCAGAACACGTGTTTTGTTCAGATTTCACATCTTCCCTCCATACCATGGCTAGATCCTAAAGGTACAGCCCAGAAAAAAACAGATTTGCCCTCTAGAGAGAATGAACCAAGATTCCAGGGGATCTCAACTCCAGGCACTGGGCAGCAAGAGAACCGGTCTATCCCTTTTTACTTGTGGGATTGCTGAGAAAAACAAACACACAAACAAAAACAACTCTGGTTAAGAGTCAGACGGACATAGCTGGGATGGCTTTTCTGCTACTTAAGGGCTGTGTGACTGGGGGCAAGTACTTCCTACAGTGATGCCCCATCTCTTTGTTGAAGGTACACTTACAAATGTTGGAATCTGGGGCAATGAACCGAAGAGAGGAAAGACTCAAAATGAAATGGAAAAAGTTGATAATATTTAAAATGCAGTAGTTGTTAATGTATAACAGTATTTCCCAAAGTGCGTAAGACACCCAGAGGTGTTTTTTTGTTTTTTGGCATCCAAAATTTTGTGCCTTTAATTTGAAAGTTTTCTCCTGAGCAGAATGTTACTCTTTGAGTAGAAGCGCCCTGATAATTATATATACCTCTGCATTCACAGAGCCATGCTGTTACATCTTCCAGGACATCATCTTCCTTTTGGTGCTGACTCACCTTTTTGCCTTCCATCATACCTAGTCTCACGTACAGCAAAATTGTTCCCAGTTCTACATCTTGCATCACAACCCACTCAGCAAAATGCCCCAATCAGGCACTTAACTGAATGTCTGCTTGGATAGTGAGTTGCAGCAAAAGGCAATTTTATACCCGGATTAAGAATTGGCAGAGCACCAGGGAAGATTTAAAGCTTACAGATATGACACAGCACACGTTGGGAACCACTGGCTTACCTTCTCTGGCAAATGTCATCCCTGACCCTGGAACAGAGCACATACCCAATGGTTCTCTACTGTGCTGTTCTCTCTCACAACTCCCTGGGGGGAAAGGATTAAGATCCCTGTTTTACTGAAGAGGAAACTCCTGTTTAGAAAGGTTAAGCCAATTGTTCCAGTTGATGGGAGCAGGACAAAGAAGGTTATTTCCATTCCCACATCCCTGGTCCCGCCTGCTTCCCTGTGTATACTGCTGTTATCCACCTCCATTGGTCATCTAGAAATGTCGGAGGCAGTCTGGCTTCATAGGAGGGAGGGAGAGCTGCCTCATCATCACAGTGATCTGAAGCTGACTTCCCCAGTAGCTGGGTAATGGGAGACTCTCATTACAGAGCAAAAATATGGCAAAAATACACTGGAGATTGCAAAAAGTGAAACCATTGTCAACAGTCATGAGTGACTAAGCAATACAGGTGCAAACTTCAAGTGGTAAGTCACTGGCATCTTAAAAGCAATCTTTTTAAAAAATTGTGGTTGTATTTATTAAGATACCTGAAAGCCTTTGGAAATTAGAACATATACTTCCTTTCTTGCCTAATGACACCACCATCCACTCTGCAATCTAAATCGTGAATCTGGAAATCACTGCAGCCTCCTGTGTCTTCTTCCATTACTATCTTTCTTCATCACCGCTATTTAATCCTTCACACAGTCCTATTAACCTGAATTCCCAAGTATCTTGCAGATCTTTCCATCCCACTGTAGTAGTTGTGAGTGTGGGCTTTTAGGTCAGACTGCCTGGGTTGAAACCTGGCTCTGCCTCTTGGTGTCTGAGTCTTTCTCCAGCGGTGTACTGGAGTGCTCCTATTGCCCAACCCACATCAGCAGTGACTATCATCATCTTTAAACCATGTCCAAATAAATGTGTTCTACCAATACACAACAAAGTGTATTGCTAGCCTCTTGCTTTGGTTTTCAGGTTTTCTTTTCTAGTACGATTAAATATTTCCTTCTTGTTTAGGCACCCTATTTATTTCTCCCTCTCTGTTCACGTCCCTTTCAAAACTTGGAGGGTTAGTGCTTTTTATATTTTATTTAATAATATCTTATTCATATTTCAAGTTCTTTTTAGAAGCAATTTATTTAGTACTTCTTTTTATATGTCAAGTTATTTTAAGAAGCAATAAAATATGAGTAAAAATTGTGAAATAACACTGCCAAGTCATTAAATGTCACCCCTGGGTGGAGTTTCTCTAGAAATTACCTGCATAAGGTGAGTAACCCTTGTCTTTAGGATGCTAATGCTTAATCATATTAGCATGAATGTGAATTATTATTGTTTTAAAATAACACTGAAAATGACCAAAAGGCAGGTACTTACAAAGGAAACTAGAACATTTTTTTTTTAGCTGGCTTCTTTCCTTCTGTCTTTTTTGCTCCATTCAGATCCTGTTATTTCCCAGAGAGTGCCACAGTCTGTGCAATTTTCTTTTACATTTCCTTAATTGTTAGCAGTAGAATAAAACTAATACTTCATTGTTATTATCACTCAAAATATGTCCCCAACTATATGAAAGCACTGTGCATCTACTTTTATGTTGGTGGGGAAGGGAAATTTCTTGGGACTTTATAATATTTTAAAATTACATGAGAAAATCATTAAGGAATATATTTGGGTTTATTGTCAAATTGTTTTTTTAACCATTTGTGGTCTCCCATCTGTTTTAAATATAAAGTTACAAAAGTTGTACTCCTTTCCCTTTTCAAGCCCATTTCTTTAGGGTAAATAAAAGTTAGAGTAAATTGAACATCAGCCACCTGGAAATACTCCTGATTCTTAGTTCTGACTTTCTCCCTGTTGCTTATCAGTTGCTTGTCAGGATGGAAGACCTTTGCTCTTCGAATGTGGGTCCGTGTATTTCACTCGATACCCTGTCAGTCCTCTTGGGTTAAAGCTAATCTACATCACTTTCCATTTTCAGCCACCAACTATATCTGTAGCTGCAGTGACATTTTTACACAAGGAAAGATGTATGCTGCCCATCTGTCATGTAAGGACGTAATGTAGCTAAACCATCTACCCTGTCTCTTACTACACGGTGAGTGATGAGAACACAAAGCGCTGGGTTCAGTTTCTCCTTGGAGAATGAGTAGCAAGAGATACTAATTTGTATGTTATGCTGCCAAGAAAATGAACATCAGGTGAGGCATGATCAATGGATTGCAGAAGCACTTCTGCAAGGGGATGTGGTTCTGGGCTTTTGCAATGCCTTTAGCCTCTGTTTTTGAAAGTCTAAGCATACAAATGTTTCATTGTTTTATGCCTGGCTTGGTGGATCGAAAGAGACTTTCCTAGGACGCTGGGTAGCATGGTGGATGTGCAGCCAGGAGATCTGGACAAGGACACTAGTCAGGACAGCCTAGGAACCAAAGGCAAATCTCTTCACTTTATCAGCCTTGGTTTACTCATCTCCAAAAAGACAGAACTGAGATTAATTGCTATCTCTAACATTCTATTGCTATGTCGTGTACTTAGGCTTCCTGAAAACCAAAATAACAGAGACCGTAGACTTGTTATAGACTAGAATATGGCTGTTGGGTGGGCTTTCAGCTGAGCTGCACAGAAGGGTGTAGGCATGACTGTGCTAGGCACGAGGAAGACTGTCAGGATGTGTTAATGAGGATGAAGTGGGTTGGGAAGAGGAGCTTTTAGACGCCAGAGGCAAGATTGACCAACTTCTCAGCTTGGTCCAAGGCTCCTTTGGGTCTAAGAAACTGTGTGTGAGGACTGAGGGTCCTTCCATTGTGGACACTTTTCAGGGTTGTGTCCTGACCCTCTTCTTTTCTCACCCTGCACCTACCCTCCCTGGGATGTTTCATCCATTGGTGTGATCTCGGCTCACTGCAACCTCTGCCTCCCAGATTCAAGCAATTCTCCTGCCTCAGCCTCCTGAGTAGCTGGGACTACAGGCACCCACCACCACGCCCGGCTATTTTTTTTTTTTTTTTTTTGTATTTTTAATGGAGATGGGTCTCACCATGTTGGTCAGGCTGGTCTCGAACTCCTGACCTCAAGTGATCCACCTGTTTCAGCCTCCCAAAGTGCTAGGATTACAGGCATGTGCCACCGTGTCCCACCCACTTGCCTTTTATAAGCTGTATCTATGGGCATACTTTGCTCTGAAGCAACAACCTGTGTATCTGGGGATCTCCATTTGGATGGCCTGAGTCCCTCTCATGAGCTTGACCTTGTCTCCTCTGCCCATCCCGTGCTGTTGCTCCTTCTCCTACAGTCATCATCTCAACAGATAACCCCTTGTCCACAGTATTGCTAAAGTAAAAACCAAGGTGTCCTTCTTGACTTCTCCCTCTCTCACCTCTGACAACCAGTCAAACCCTCCTTAATTCTCTTCACTTACAATTCTTCATTGGCGCCCATTGCTGTCAAGGTAAAGTCAAGCTCCATAGCAGGACAGGGCTCCCCAACCCTTTCAGCTCCATTTTTTGCTGCTCTTCCCTGGCGAGTGTCTTCCAGTTCTATAGTCTCACCATGTCGTCTCTGCTTCTGGGTTTTATGTTTGCTCTTGTCTCTGTTTGACGTGCCTCCCTAACCATCCTCTCCATAACCTAATTTTCATAGATAACTCTAGTTTCCTCTTTAGTCTTGGTCTGGATTAGTCTTTCTCAACTGGGGCTGACATCACCCCTCAGAGGACGTTTGACTGTGTCCAGAGACATTCTGCGTGGTCACAACTGAGTGGGGGTGGGGATTGCTACTGGCATCTAGTGGGTAGAGGCCAGGGATGTTGCTAAACATCTTATAATGTCCCTCACATCAAAGACTCCTACGACAAAGAATTATCTTTCCCCAAGTAGCAATGGTGTTGAGATTGAGAAACCTTGGTCTAGATTTCACTTTCTCTGGGAAGCCTGTCCTGACCTCCCCATGTCCCTCTTCCATGGTGTCATGTCCCTCTTCTTCGACTTTTCATCACCCTTTTCCTGTTGCACTGTTTTCTGTTCACTTGTCTGCCTCCTCTTCTAGAATGTGGGCTTCTGGAAGTCAGGCACTGTTTCTTGTTTCCCTTTTAATTTCCAGTTCCCAGCGCAGTTCCTGCTAATAGTGGGCATGCAATACATATTTGTAAATGAGTAAAAAAATGAATACACAAAATTCACTCTATAAGAAGTATCTCCCATACCACATTTTTTTTTCCAAGAAAGCATATCATTTGCAATAATACCCCACTCTAATCTCTGTCCCTGCAGCACCGCTAGGGAAAGCATTCTTTTGGAGTTCTCTTGCATATGTGGGCCACAGCAAACTGCCAGCCTGCCTGGGGAAATAAATATTTGAATACTTATTTTGTTTTCTAGTGGCTTCTCTTGCCAACGTTACTCCAGTCATGGAAATATCCTTACCCACAATGTGATGTGTGCTGTGGGATTATTACTATTATTTATATTTCCATGACCTGATTTTTTTTATATTAAATAATAGTTGAAACAGTTTGTGTCTTGACTTTCTTTTATAGTTGAAAATGCCACAGAATGCAAGTTAAGGCCATGTGAGCCAATATATTTCATTGCCCAGCACCATAATCTATTAAGCCTGAGATATTTTCAGGGAATTGCCTTAAATCCTTTGGTGGTTTAAAGTAGCTTCAGAGGGATTAGTGGCTTAGAGGTAATTGTTATTGCTAATATTTTATTTGAAATGTCCTGTTCAGCAAAGGTAATGTGACATTTTGCTCACTGGAAATGCTGTCTTTCTAGGAAAAGGGATGAGCCAAAAGGTCAGTGCCCAAGAGAGGGAGGGGAGGGAGTATGTGAGACCAAGGACAAGAGCCTAAGCTGAGGTGACCAGCACAAGTTACCCGAGACAGAACAGACTTTTGTGTGGACTTCAGGGAGATGGAGTTTTAATTTTATGTGAATTGTGAGATTAATCTAGACGGTTAATCAGCTCTAAAGAGAAATCCATGTTTTACTTTTAAAAAGAAAAATAAGTAAGGAGGATAAAACCCAGTGAATACTTCTTCACAGGGGCATCCTCTTTTACTGAGTCAGTAAATGTTGGAGCTCCTCAGGGTCCATTTCTCTTCCTGGCCAGTGGATTTTGAATATAGAGTATCTGAGAAATCACTCTGGGGCACTTGTTTAAAAATAAAGATTTCTTGGGCTCTACTTCCAACAACAACAATTCCATAATTCTGAGATAGTCTCTGAAATCTGCATTTAAACCAGAGAGCACTAGGAGATTCTGATGCAGGTATTTCTTATGCCTGGAGAAACATTGAATTAACCAATCTCTTCCTTGCCCATGATGGCATGTTTCTCAAATTTCTATGTCCCAAATGTATCTGAGCTCTGGATTCATCTATCAAAACAACAATCAAAACCAATGAATGTCTTAAAGATACTTCAAACTCAGCCTGTCCAAAAGCAAATGTTGTCTTTTTGTGTTTCCTGCCTCAGGAATGGGAATGGCACCTGTTTGGTTCTCCAACACAATAACACAGATGTCACCTCCCTTTCACCCTCTTCATTGGCTCTATCCTTGCCATCGGGCTGCCACCAGCTCCTATCATCACTTAGCATTTTTCCCTGGAGTACAGCAGTAGCTCACTAACCAACCTCTTTGCATTCACTCTTCAATCTTATCTCAACAAGCCAAAGGAACATCTGCAAAATGCATGCTTTAATGTTGCGCCACTACTGGCAAAAACTATTCAATGACTTCCTGTTGCCTTTAGGATAGGACCCAAATCCTTTCTTTGACTCAGAAAGTCCTGCTTGGTGACAGCTGACCACCACTAGAGTCCTGTCTCATAGGACTTTCTTTCTGACTCTGTGTTATAGCTACACTGTTCTTTCTTTAGTTCTTTGAAACTGCCAAGCTCGCCTCCAGCACAGTATGATATTTGACCCTGAACTAGTTTTTCCTTCAATCCCCTCCCCTTCCCTTAGCCTAATGAACACCTATATCTCCTTAGATGACATCCCCAATTCTGCCTTTCTGATCTTCTCCTAACCTAAGTTAGGTTCCTTTACGATACACCCTTGAGCACCTACATGCTTTTTGTAATGATATGTTTTGTTTTGTGAGTGTTTGACTAAAGCTCGTCTTTCCCTAGACTGGATAGCTCATAAAGACAGCAATTTTGGTTCTTCCTTTTTTGCTCACTGTTGGAGCTATAGTATCTGTCACAGTGCTTGGCCTGAGGAGGCACTCAATAAGTGTTTGTTGAATGTATGTTTATTGGATGACAATGCACATTATGTGAAACATGCTGTTGAAAGAACAATGTCATCTGAATTTCTTCAGACAGAGAAATCAGAGTAGGTTTAGCAGAGACAGACACTGGGGTTGTCAGGCAAAGTAAATTGGGGTTGTAAGGTCACTAGCTAGATATTTAAGGCTGGTAGAACAGCATAATTATAACTCTTCAGCACAACCATTAAGTGTACACAAACTTCGTACCCAGGTATATAATTTTAAGCTTGAGTTGACTTCTCAGTGACAGGTGAATGGGAGACTTAAAAAGAAAGGTAATCTTGATTAAGAAATCTTTAGATTTCACTCAGCATTAGAATATTTAGGATAATGATGCCCTTTAGTTTATAGAGTCTGATGTTGAATTTCATTTTGTTGGGCCATTTCTCTCAAAATAATATTAATCCAGTTTATTATAAAAGCTTTACAGGGCTTGCTGGATTCCCCAGATAATCCTTTTTTTTCTTCTTCTTCTTTTTCTCTTTTCTTTTTTGTTTTTAGACAGAGTCTTGCTCTGTCACCCAGGCTGGAGTGCAGTGGCATGGTCTCGGCTCACTGCAACCTCCGCCTCCCAGGTTCAAGCAATTCTTCTGCTTCAGCCTCCCAAGTAGCTGGGACTACAGGCACATGCCACAGCACACCTGGCTAATTTTTATATTTTTAGTAGAGACAGGGTTTCACCATATTGGCCAGGCTGATCTCGAGCTCCTGACCTCATGATCCACCCACCTCAGCCTCCCAAAGTGCTGGGATTACAGGCATGAGCCACTGCACCCAGCCCCCAGATAATCCTTTACTCCAACTTTCACACTTGCTCTGAAAAGTAAGATTAGCCCCAGAAACTTTGACACTGTTGAAATCTTCTGGATGTATGATAGCTGAATGCATCTGTTAAACGGATTGATGTTTTAGATCAGACAGACATTGTCAGTGGGACCTATCATTTATTTACTTCTTACAACTCTATTTTTATGGTGTTCTCCCCAAAGAAGGCTATAGAGTTTTTCAAATGGAAATCACAAACTCAAGAGATGGAAGAAGGCGGCAAATACCAAAAGATCATCACAGTAAAGGCCAAAAGGGGAAAAGGTTGTTAAAAAATAGTATATGGAGAGGATGGTATAAGATATGGATCATGTTTGTAAAATAAGAAACACATATGATGCTATTCTAGCATAGAATATGCTCAAAACCCAGAATCCCTTTGTATCTCTATTTCTGATATTACAGAATTCAACTCAAAAGGGGAGAATAATTTCTTCAGCATTCCTGCTCCATAGAGAAGAAATCTAACTCTGCAAGGGTCTGGAAGAGTCCCAGTTTCTGGTTGTTGCCTCTCTGTACCTGGTGGAACTGTCCCATCTTCAAAACAGTGCTAAGGTAGTGAGGAAAAAGACTGGTCTAACATGTTTGGTTGTGTGTTTGCTTTGTGCCTGACACTGTGCTACAGACTTTTATACAGACTTGAGATTGCAACTGTCAACACTGAGTTTATATGCTGGAACATTGTTCTCTGGGAAATCCAGCCAGTCCAGGGAAAAGAGACTGACATGAGAGCTCACCATAAATGCAGAGTCAGAACAGCCTACACATAAGAAGGCCTACCACTGACAGTTGCCCTTGCATGCGCTATGCCTTTAAATTGCTCTTTTGTGCTCAACCTAAATGTAAGGACACACAAGGAGCATAAGGAGAACTGTCTGTAATGTGAATGACAGAGGCCAAAAATCACTAGAGAAAAGAAACTTGTAGGATAGAGACCATCCATAGTTTTGAAAACCTGAAACAATATCTAATCTCTACAGAAAATTAAAAGAACATATTGTGTCTATGAAACTAGAATAACATGGTAAAAAAAATGAAAAATTAAAAAAAGAATTCTTGAAAATAAAAATATGACAATAGGAATAAAAACTCAATAGAAGGCTAAGAGATAAAATTAGGTCTCCCAGAAAGTTTTCAAAAATAGAAAAAAGATTGAAGTTTCTCTTCCAAATCCCAATAACAGGAATTCTAGAAAGAAAGAAGTAAAAATAAAGGGAAGTTTTTTGTTTTTTTTTTTTTAATTTTAGAATATTTCCAAGAATTGAGGACATAATTTTCGAAATCAAAAGAATACATCTATTGCCTAACACGAGACCCATAGTAAAGCATGTTTTTGCAAAATTTCAGAATACTGAGGATAAAAACAGATAAAAGCTTTCAGAAAAGGAAAATAATTATTTACAAAAGATTAATAATTAGATTGGCTTCAGAATTCTCAATAGTCACACTGGAAACTAGCAGAAAATGAAGAAATACCTTTAAAATTCAAAGGGGAAAGAATTCCAGATAGAAAATTATATATCCAGACAAACCATTGATCAAGGATGAAGGTAGGATAAAGATATTTTTGGATGTGCAAGGGCTGCATTTTCCTCACATGCATCAATTTTCTAAGAGGGTACTAGAGAAGGCATAACACTGAAATGAGGGAGCAAGTTAAGATAGAAGAGATAGGATTCAAGAAACAGAAGACCAACATGAAAGAGAGACAAAGGAAATCTTCACAATTGCCATGGAGGGAAATTCCAAGGAAAACTGCCCCAGGAATAAGAGGACAAGTTAGGGTAGCAGCAGGTCAGGAGGTGCTGGGAGAGACCTTTCCGAGATGAAATTGGTAGACTGTCTGCTGCATTTGAACATTCTGGGAGAGGCTCAGATTCCTGAGGAGAGTTTGGGGTTGATTTAGTGGTAAATACGTAAAAAACTTAGTGAGCACACATGCACACACACACAGATAGTTACTGATTTCCTGGAGGTTAGAAAGTCATGCAGAATAAAGAAATCAAGGCTCAGAAGTTTTATAGTTATAATAATGTGAATATTTTCAAAATGTGAATGTTAAAACTGTTTCAACAGAAATAGTGGTACAGCTCTGTAGCACTGATGGGAGGGTTGAGGCATGAAAAAGGCACATGGGTGAGAGGGAAGGAGGAGGGAGGTGGTAAGAAACAGGGGAAGTGAGTAGATAATGTCTAAAATGGAAAAATTAAGAAAGAGTAGTATAATATAAGCATGTTCTTTGGTAATGAGGGTGAAAAATCCTGGAAGAGTGATCATAATGGTTGTCTCGTAGAAACATGTGTCTTTAAACTCTGTGTGTATGTGCTTCATGAAAAACGAGAACTAAGTTAAAAATATAAGGAAAGTATTTTGGAAAGCAAATCAATAAGAGAGTGAAAGGATTTATTTAATGGGGAAGTGATGCCAATTCTAAAGAGGTCAAGGCTGGGTAAGTATGTACCTGGCTGGATCTCACTGCCTCTGTGAAACATCTGGTTAGACAACTCTTCCTAGGCTCATTTCTAAATCATCTTTGTGACTCAGGGTGGTTTAATAATTCTACAGTCTTAATTATGGCAGAGGCATTTCATCACCATCGAATAGGCGCCTAGAGCTTTCATGATAAGAAAGTAATAGATATGCTCATTGCTCAGGACCTTCTTCCTCCATCCACCAAGAAATAGCACTCAAAGCCAGATATGTGTTAAATTCTTTGCAGATTTTTAAAAAGCAATAATAGGCCTCTGTATCATGTTGAGGTTGCCTTTGGCTAAAATTGTCCTCTCAGCCATTTATCATTATGCACCCCAAGCCTGGACTCAGGTAGGAAGCAGATTGAGCCATTTGTAAACTCCATTAATTACAGATACACAAGACATATCTTCCCTTACCTTCCTTTTTTCCAAAAGGCAAACTGATTTGTTCTTTCTTCTATCACCTACACAAAGTAACCTTCCCAAGTAATATTAATATTTAGAATATACAGTCCCTCAAATGATCACTGACTCGTTGCTTATCCATCTTAAGCACCAGATATTAATAACTTTTAAAAAAGTTGCATGCCTAGCTTCCTGAGGTTTCTCTAAGTATTCCAGGAGAATACATTGAAAGTATAGAAAACTTACTTTGTTGTTGAGGAGCCTTTGTAAGAGCAAATTTTTAAAAGACTGAATAATTCTCGAGTATTTCTACCATATACATTTGTTGGCCTACTGAACTGTGTAGTCATTTTCATTAGCTGCCTGGTTCTACATGCTTTATCTGACCACATTTCTGTGAAAAGCATTCCCCCAAATGCCCAAGTACATGGTAGAAAAATAAACTGCAGTGACAAAGATGTACCCACAAACTGACTGATAGAGGGGGATAGTCTCAGTCTTTTATTCTATCATTCTGTCTAGTCCGGGCTCCAATTCTACTCACATCCCATGTATTCCAGGCAATTGTGGGCCAATGTAAAGAAACAAAAGCAATGAGCAGAGTTGACCATAGGTGGAAGGGTCAAGTGTGGCCCTTGGCCTTCTGACTTTCATTATCTGATTGTTTTAGGTTATTTAATGGTCATTATGGCTGCACAATGGCTGGTGCCATTACAATCTGGTTTATGGGAACTGGCAGAATCTAGGGGGTTGTTATCAAGAGACAGGCTTCCCAGACTTGAAATATGACCTCTTTGTATATAGATTCATAGAATTTACTGGGAACAAAAAGACAGAAGCCTACTAAATTTTTAAGAAAGCCATATTGCCAAAGAAATCTCAAACTTGGCTAACAATAGCTAGTGACTATTTTAACTTTTTCCTTGGGCCCCAGAAATGTAACCAATAAGAAATAAACTGCCAGAATGGTGTAACTTCCAAAATAGGTACTCTCTTTGATGTGGCCATGAAAGATGAGCGCCAAGGGAGTTCGTCTTAGCAGATATGAGTGTCAAGATTAGGTGATCTTGTAAACTCCATTAATGACGGATGTACAAGACATGTATTAGGTTCTCACTTTACTGTCCATGCAAGGAGCCCTAGCAGGATTCTATATGTGCTATGAATTAATGGTCACTTAAATTGCTTTCTAATATCTTCCCCCACTCCAAATGTGAGTTTTTATTCTTCTCCACCACTTTATATTGCATGTGTTGAGGGTGGACAACTTCTTCAATCCACATTGAAGTCACATCTGGATTGACAGATGTTATGACATCCAGAGGTGTGGGACATGGGAACTGAATATAATAACTGGATTAGATTTTTGGATTGTCTTCTTTTAGACAAGGAGTGACAGTGTTTCAGCTATGCACAAGCACTTTAAAAAGTTTTTGCATGAGAAGGGGTGTCTTTATGCACGTTGGATAGCAAAGGTGTACTATGGTAGATACTGTAAGAGTTCCTCAACACTTATTTTATCCCTTCACCGTGATGAATAATCTTGTATTAGGAGAGATGGACCCCTCCCTCAGCATCAGAAAAGGGCTCTGATTAATCTAAACCAATAAAGACCATCCTGTCTTTCTTCCCACAGGATTGTTTCAGAGATAGCTTCAGGCCATTCTAAACCAAATAATTTTTTTTTATGATTGTAGGTCCAACACTCTTTCCTGGCATATAAATGGAGAAACCTATAATTTTAGTTGCAACAGGCAGGAATTTTGTTACCATGAGGAATAGGTAAATTCAGTTATCTTTTCCATTCATGCTCAGAAATTAAATTCTCTAGTAGAATATCTCCTTGGTCATGTTGAAAGTCAACCAGCCCAGTTTCTGGGTGCCTGGCAGGATCTGGCCTCTATAGATTCCGAGTGGGGGATAGCATCATCATTTACCAACTCAACAACCCCTTGCACAATACCAGAGAAGCAGTTCTACAAGTGGGAATCTGGATGGGGTTAGCAAGGGGGAAATGTATTTTGAAAGACCAATAAATGAGACACTCACAACCACACCCATTTCCTCTTAACTTCAGACATTTTTTAACTAAAAATTTTAAAATTCTTAAAAACTGTTAGTTGACAAAGGCGTAAAAAAGTTAACCTTAAAAGTACATAACAAATACATATTAAGTCAATTTTTCCAATTTCCAAAAATTAACTCAATTTTTCCAATAACCGAATAAAGTGGAAATTACAACCCCCTTTTAAGGTGAGAAGTCTGAGGCTTACACAATCATTTTCCTAAGGTCATTCAACTAATGAATGGAGAAACCGGAATTCAAACTTGATTCTGCTTAACTCCAAACTGATGCCCATGCTGTGATGCTGGGTAAGTCCAAGATGCAAGTGGGGCACATGTCACTGACATGATGTTTTTAGGGAAAACATGACCACATTAACTAGCATATGGTAATTGTGTGGGTCTACATAAGAAATTTAGACTATACTTGGAAGAACTGGGTCTACTTGCCACAGACCATGGGACATATGTCATAGATGGGAAAAACACCTAACCAGTTTTTATTCAAGACTAAAGGGAAGGAATTTTTCCCTAGCACCTTCCATGAAGAAAATAAGGAGAATTCGAGGTGGGCGGATCACGAGGTCAGGAGATCAAGACCATCCTGGCGAACACGGTGAAACCCCGTCTCTACTGAAAATACAAAAAAATTAGCCGGGAGTGGTGGCGGGCGCCTGTAGTCCCAGGCTCTAGGGAGGCTGAGGCAGGAGAATGGCGTGAACCCGGGAGGCGGCAGAGCTTGCAGTGAGTGGAGATCGCGCCACTGCACTCCAGCCTGAGCGACAGAGCAAGACTCCGTCTCAAAAAAAAGAAAATAAGGAGAATGTGGGCAGGGAACTTTTAAGTTTGCTACATGGCATGGACCAAGAAGTGATCAAACTTTTAATATTTCTCAGGATCATGTGTTTAATCACTGACAGTTTATGGGATGTGTGGAAATAGAAGGCAAATGTAGAGGCTTATGTTGCTTGGTGTAGACATAGGACCCACAAAATGAGTTTATACATAATCAACTTATTGATAAACAAATCACATCACTACACATATATACATATACCTTTCTGATTGTATGGACCACTATTTTGAAAATGCCTTTTTGCCTCACCATTCTTATTTAGTTGTCCTTAAGATTTATGGGAACTGGCAGAACCTAGAGGGTTGTTATCAAAAGACAGGCTTCCTTAAGATTAGATCTGCTAACAGCA